AAGTTAAACATTGTGGCTCTAAATTATGCATTGACATCAACAGTCTTGTTAAAAAATAAATGAATGTAAATATACTGGGATTCCTCTGGTTTATTCAGTCGCAGCTGATCAGTGAATAAAGGTTGGTGAGGCTGGTTTGTTGATTAGTTTTGGATTTACAAATTGATAATTGGATGATAATAGGTGCTTAATACGAGATTTTTTTAAACAGAATTTGAACCAGGTGAAGCTAAAAGTTTTTTTTAGCTTAAATGCAAAATAAAAGTATTTCTTGTACATTTTAGCTTGATAAATTCAGCAAATGACCTTATTTTTTTGAATCTGTATACTTCAGTTAACAATTAAACAATTACTAAAATAGTTGACGATTATTTTATTAATTGATTAATCGCTTCAGCCATAAATAATAACATTACACAAACCAAACTTGAAGCGTTTCTTTGTTGTTTCAGAGCTTCCTGAAAGCATGAGCCTGAACTTTGACTGCGGCGCTCAGATCAAGCTGGGCTTTGCCGCAGAGTTTTCCAACGTTCTCGTCATTTACACCCACATCGTGAAGAAGCCCGAGGACATGTCCTTCTGCCAGGCTCACGTCACCGACTTCTCTCTGGTCTGCACGCTGCAATGTGCTCCTCTTGATAACTTTACAGATGTTTTGTAATATTTTGAGTTGGAAGGTGAAATCCTGCTGTTTTTACTGCAGGACCTTGATGTTGATCCAAAGGAAATGAACAGAGAGACTCCAGAGGAGACTGGGATTTACCTGCTGTCCAGCAGCCTGCCGCAGCACTGCCTCTACACCAGACTCAGCTCTCTGCAGAAACTCAGGGTAAAAACACAACGAGCACCTTAAATGTCCCCCCGAAATAACCCTCAGGCTGGTTTAACAACATCACTGATTAGCAACATCAGTGATACTTTATGTATTCTCCTTGAGAATAAAAATTAGAAAATATCTGCAGCCACTTTAATTGCAACTAAAAGAAGATAGCAGGTTTATTTTTACAATAAATGGCATCCATGAAGGAGATTCAAGGTGCTGACCAAAATAAACACAAATGACCTTCGAATATTTTCCAAAAACATTCTGCTGATCCCACATGCCTTTCGGAAAATCTTCTGTGAACCAGACAAAAGTCAGCTTTGTTTAGAAGGTGTGTGACCCGTTAAATCTGCTGCAGATGTAAACATCATCCCTGCTGTTAAACACGGTAGTGATGGTGTGATGATTCAGGGCTTCAGGCTTCCTGTGATTAATGGAAACAAGGAATGCTGGTAATCTATTTGTGACTTTTTAGCTCAAACTTATTTAGTTTATTCAGAAGATGAAGCCCTCCATGAAATCTACTTATGAGTGTAACAGCTTTGGAGTGGCCTAGTCAAAGGTGGGACTGGCTGTTCACTTTCAAAAACCCTGCAATGTCACTGACTAATAACAAATCTGATGAAGAGGAGTGTACAAAAAAATGCCTTCCTAGCTATTTAAAATACTTATCAGAAAAGACATGATGGGTTTCATTTGGCACAACAACTTTTTAGGTTGATGAGAAATTACTTTTTCACATAAGGGCTGGTTGGTGCAAATAACTTTATCTTCATTATTTTATCTGAAAAAACAAAAAAAATGTTTAAGGGGGCAAATACTTTTTCTCATCACAAGTGACAATTTTAGCAAAATTCTGCATTTTCAGTTGTAGAAATTCCTTAAATGCTCTCAATATGAAGTTTTCTGTGGCAGCAGCTGCCCAAACAAAAACTAAACACTGCAAAAACACAATCTTACCAAAGTATTGGTTCTACTGGTAGATTGTTTTACTTTTAACATGGAAAAGTTGTCTTGTTACAAATGAAATAATCTGTCAATCGAACAAGTACTTTTTCATCAATATCAAAGAATAATTTACTTAAAATAAGCTCAGATATCATTCTGGAAAGTTACTTTTAAGTTAGTTTTGTCTTATTTCAAACTAGGTAACAATTATTTTGTATGTTTTGTGTTTTTGCAGTGTGTACAACTACATATAAACAGCTAAAAACACAACAGTTTAAAAACAACAGAACACCAAGGTTATTGCTCTCCTTCCAGGCTTGAATGTTGTTTAAGCTTTTTTTTTTTTTTTCAAACTTTTGATTTTGTTTTCTAAACATTTTTTCTCTCTGTTAATCCTTCCCTCAACAGGAGGAGCTGGTTTTCACCGTTTGCCTCCAGGGAACGTTTGCAGCCATGGATGATGACCATCCCATATTCTGGACCAAAAGCGTGAACATCGGGAAGCCGCTGATTGCCCGGCTGGACCTGCACCGGGCCGTGCGGCGGAACAGCTGCCTGCAGACCTGCATGATGCCCCACAGCCCGTCCCAGAGCCCCTGCCACAGCCCGGGCCCGGAGCACCAGCACCACCTGCACCACGGGTCGCACCAGGACTACAACCGCCTGTCCCCGCAGCACGGTTACCTACACATCAGCGAGCACGCTCAGGGCGCAGCGGGCGGCTGCAGCTTCTCCTGCTACGACCAGCTCAGCCAGTGCGACTTTGACCGGGCCTACGAGTCCGACGGACTCCTGAGCTCCCCGGGGAAGCTGAGCATCCCCATCGAGGCGACGGAGGACATCAACGAGCTGCAGGCCGTGTTCATCAGCAGCCTGCACCTTCAGCCGCAGTGACGCGGAGCCTCCAGCTCGTCAAAGGACGGATTTCTGTTCTGCTGCTGTTAAATTACCTTCTGTACCCTTGAATTTCTGAGGATTAGTAGGCTGTATTTAGGCTTTACAGAGCTCCCTACAGGGACACAGGGGACTTTTCTTTGTTATCTCACAAAAGTATTGTGTTCCCTCGCGATAAATTATATTGCAGGGTCATTGTACAAAGAATTAAAAGTACATTTTCGCCAAAAATATTTTGAGACTAATCTGAGAAATTTTCTTGAAAAAAATTTAGAATTTTTGAGTTTCAAAAGTTGAAAATTTGCTAGAAAAAATCTGAAATTTTTACATTAATCTGATAAAATTTCTTGTTAAAAGCTTGCAAATTTCTGTTTCATAATTTTTAATTTGGTAGAAAAAAACTCAAAATGTCTTTTTTTTACAGCAAAGTTTCAACTTTTGAAAGTTCGAAATTTCCAAATTTTTTCCTAGAAATTTTTTTTGACAGAAATGTGTCGCTACTTTTTGTGTATACAATGGCCCTAACACACTGTCGTAATTTTATAAACAGTCACATTGATAACAAATATCAGTTTAAACCTACACATTAAACTTTAAATAAAAATGTGTTTCTACATTCTTCACTTGTTGGAGCTAAAATTGGGTTGAAAATTAATCTATTGATTGGTTGTTCACGGCAGTTTATGTAATATCGTTCATGTTTTCGCCGTTTTGCACATAAATTTCTGGTGCATTTATCCACAAGAAAAGTTAGATAATACCTGGAAAAGCCTTCCAAAACCTTCCCTGATGCTGCATGAACTGACTACTAAATACATTACTACGTAGGAACGCAAAACCATTGTGAGGTAACACAAGAGAAAAAAATTACATAAAACTTTGTGTGTAAAGTTTAATTTTTAAAATATATTTTTAGATAAATGTATTTTTGTAAATTGACATTGTTGAATGTAATTTGTGTTTTCTGTGGATTTGATCGTCACGTTGTATAGGAAGAACAAAATATATTCTAGTTTTTCTCAATTAATTACCCCAAAATAATTGTTTTTAATTCAGAAAATGAAACAAAATTTATTTCTCTGAAACTTTTAATAATTACATAAGACCAATAAAAAAACATAAATTAAGATTTATTTTATTTTTCTTTATGCATACTATAGCTTACAGGACCAAATCATTTTCACAGTTATCCTGCAGACTCTCTCAGCCTCCACATGGATGATAAACCCCAAATGATCACTGGAAAATAAACTGGCTGATTCCAAGCGCAGTAATGGAAAGTTTAGTGGAAGGAAACTACACCTTTGAGAGGATTGTTAAGCAAAACCAATCCAAGAGTTTGACAGATTCACAAGGTGTGGATTGCAGCCGGAGTCAGAACAAATCCTGCACTCATTTTTCATTTAAACCCATAAAGATCTGGATTTTGAAAAGTTTTAACCTTGGAGTAAAAAATACTGCCTGTCAGGACTGAGTAAGTTTCCAGCTGTGTTACAGACCAGAGAAACAAAATCATTTCCATAAAGTAACACAAAATGTTTCCAAGTATCTTTGGTTTAGTTTCTAGTTCAAATATCTTTGTAAACTTGAAATAAGATAAAAATAACAAGTAACTTTTTAGCAAGAAATATGAGCTTGATTTAAGTTAATAATTCCTGAATATTTATGAAAAATTACTGCTTCTACTGGTCGATTATTTCATTTATAGCAAAACATTGTTTCCATGTCATAAGTGAAATAATCAGCTAGTGTAACCAGTATTAAATCATCAATATTAAGGAATTATTTACTTAAAACAAGCTTCTGTACTTTAATGAAAAGTTAGTTTTCTTATTTTCAGTGTACTAAGATATTTGCACTAGAAACTAAACCAAAAATACTTTGTAAACATAAAGATAATCCTGTAGAAATTAAATATAATAAAAAACATTGAGTATTACTCAGTATTTGTTTTTTGCAGACTTTAAAACTGTTTGTTACTGTTTAAAATGCTCATTTCCTGTATAAAGCCACAGTACATCATTTATTTAGTTGGCTTTCATAACAGAACAGTTCCCTGTCCTTGTGCTGCTCACAAAGGGAGGCCGCCTGCTCATGTTACTCGTTCCTGCCAGATCCTCTCAGATAACAGAAAGAAACTCTCCAGCAGAATGTAGCGGCTTTATCGACTTTTTCAATGATGCATTTGAGACAGAATTGCCTTTCCACGAGTTTCCCCTGCAGGACAAAAACACCCTGCAGTGCAGCATGAGGACCTGAAGGCTGTCTGACTCAGAAACAGATGGAGTCATCTTCTTCTGCCACACACAGGATGCAGAGTGATCTCACTGCTGCGTCACGGTGGAGCCGGTGGAGGAGGGGCGGTGCAGCGGCGGGGACACAGACCTTCTCCCACAGAGGACAGAGGAACATCAGCCATGAAGCTGCTTCCCATCAACATCCTGCTGACGCTGGCCATCTGCCGACTCACCAGCTCAGGTAAATCACCTTCTGGTTTGATTTCTGATCAAACTCTGATGTTCTTCCCTCAGCTTGGCGCTGAAGGTTCCTGTAACCTTGACAGGAAACTGTTACAAGATTGTTGTATGATTGCACCACGTGTTGTTAAATTCGAAGTTTTTGGATTAATGTGATTTTTTAAAATGTCCAGAGAAAATGTTCTTGTCTTTTAAGAGTGGAAAAATAATTCAATGGGACGCTGAAATTATTAATTTAACAAAAATCAAATGTTTCTCTTGATTTAAAGATAAATAGACAGTATCGCTTTTAAACACTAAGAAGAAACCAAAGATAAGGAAGAGGATTAGGACCAAGAAAGAAAGAATTCTGACTTTAAACTCACAAATTTGACTTTAATCCTTTAATTAGGAAATTAAAGGATTAGATTTTGACTTTGATCCTTTAATTAGAACATTTTAGGATTAAATTATTACTTTAATCTCAGAAATTTGACTTTAATCTTTTAATTGGAGAATTAAAGGACTAAATTTTGACTTTAACCTTAATTTTCAAAGCCTTTAATTTGAAAATGACGTCTAAATTATTACTTTAATTGTAACTTCATTTTAAAATCATTTAATTTGAAAATTAAAGGTTTAAATTCGGACTTTAATCTCAGAATTTTAACTAATTCTTTAATTGAAAAATACAATTTATTTATTACTTTAATCTTCATTTTCAAACCCTTTAATTTCAAAGTTAAAGGATTAAATTCTTACTTTAATCTCAGAAATCTGAGTTTAATTCTTTAAATAGAGGATTAAATTCTAATGTTTTTTTCAGAATTGTAGATTTAATCTCAGAATTTTGACTTTAGTTTTCTGAGATTATCTGTGATATTTTGTGTAAACTTGTGTAATTCTACAATCTTCAGCCTAAAAATGTTAACCCTACTAGCCGTGCTTCTCCCCCTCCAGTCAGCTTTAGACTTGGCCACGCCCCTCAGTGTATTTTGGCTCCGCCCACTTTAGTGAAAATTGGGGCGGAGCTAAGCTTTCACTTTAAACTTTATTTGAGGATCTGAAACACTTAAATTAGACAAACCTGCAGAAACAGAATAAATCCGTTATATATAAGCTCACATCAACAGTTTCCAAGCTAACAAATGGTTTGTCAAAATGAACAATTTTTAATTTTCCAATATATCCTGTGAAAAGTGATATGTATGCCACAGGTGCCTCAGGAAAACCAAACAGTTTATACTCTCTTTTTAGTAAACCAAGCAGTTAGAGTTGTAATTTTTAATTTTCTTACCCTAAAGTAAAGCTTCCAGCTGAGTTTTGCTAATAATCAGTTAAAATCTGTATCCGTGTCCCTCTAATCTGAGGCCTCACTCTGAGTTTTGCTCAATCTGTTGGTCTACTGGGAAGAGATCCGATAACCAAAACGGTACACCCACCTGAAGCTCTCTACAGTGGTGCTGAAAACTGTATTTTACTTGTAATCTGAACCTCTGCTTCCAGCAGCACCATGTTTGGATCTTTAGGGTGGCATTCCCAACACTGGATCTGCAGTCATGGGAAAATTAAAGCAAAGGCTTTTTCAGTTCTATCAGAAAATAATAAACACAACCTGGCTGTTACCAAATGTTTATGTAGTAAACAAAAATTAAATCAGAATTGAAAATCCATGTGTAAAAAGACACGGATGGAGTTTTTCTAGTGGAAAACATTTACAGCCCAGCGTATTCACTCCAAGGTCAGACGACACAACGCTCTGAAAAGCAGAACAAAAAAACAACTCAGCAGGTCTCAATCAAGCTGTTAAATACTGAAGTTAATGAGATAATGGAAAAAAAAAAGAGTAAACCGCCACGGCTTTTTAAAAAGGCAACCGAGAAAAACACTGTGGTAGCACAACTTTATAGCAAAGTTACATCTGAATCATCTAAGTATTAACGGTAATATAGGCTTTTAAATCTAGCAATACTACCGTGGATTATTCACTGTTAAAATAATCCAAAGCATAGATTAACTAGCAAATAATGATATATTCTGCTGACAGAAACTGTTGGTCCAACACTGATGCCACTGACTTCAGCCAGCGCTCTTCCAACGAACTCCAAGAGGGTCCACCTCACAGGTCAAAATATTTACATTTATCTAAATGTTTAATGAGGAAATTCTTATATTCCATTCAGAAAATGTCAATGTCATGTTTGCTTTTTCTCAGGTAAGAATAAAGTTGAGAATGTTGAGCTGCTGAATCCTGCCAATTTGTCGCTGGAGTGCATCTGGACTGGCAACCAGAACAAACAGCCCAACATCACTGGTTTCTGGAGAAAAGGCGGAGAGGAAATTCAGGACAGCCGAGTCCCAGTGGCCCCAGAGAACCAGCAGTACAGACTCCAACGAGTGTAAGTGATTCACATGTGCTCAAAATTAACCCAAACTGGATTAAAAAATACATATATATTGGTTTTAGGAAAATGGATCTTTGCAAAACATGTTAATTTTTTTATTTTTGATTTTTTTTTATATATATTATTGAATACAATAACAACTAAAATTTACCAGATATAAAAACTGACCCCCTGTCTGTTTAGGTCTACAAAAGCAACAGTGTCTACATTGTTTTTATTATTTTAAGCCTAAAATAATAATAATAATAATATAAATCAATTTTAAATTACACCCATCAATTTTTCCCTTCAAAATGCTTCTTGTATTTAATTTGCAATGCTCTGTATTTTTAAAGAGATAATCCGCTAACTGTTGGGGTTTTTTTTTTGTCTGTCATTACTAGTTTATATGAATGCTTAGAGCTGCAACACAGGCAAAAAAAAAATAGAGCTATATCAAATTAACGCAGCAAAAGCAGATGAGGTGGATTAGCAATGTGGCATTTTCACAGGCAAACTGAAGCGTTTTGAATTCGTTTAGATGGAGCGACTGACGTTTTGGTTTAGAATCTGAAATGTTACAAAAATCATTAGACCTGAATAATTAAACGCCATCTAAATATTTTTAATCCTTATTTTTTCAGTGTTGTAATTTTTTACCTTTTTGTATGGAATCCAATGTAACTTTCTGTTGTTTCTGTGCTGTTATCTCACCTTTAAGGTTTAGAAAGAACGTCTTTGAAACCAAAACCTGCCTCTGGGTTAGCAAAGCTGCAGACGGGTCACATTTCAGAAGAAAAAACTGTGGTGAAAAACAAAATGTTAACACCTGTTCTCTCTGTTCTTCAGGTTCAACATTGTGAGTGAGGAACACCTTGGAAATTACACCTGTGTGTTTGAAAATGAAGCAGAACTAGACTTTATCTTGGCAGGTACAGATCACAATCTGCACCACCTTTACCGTCTTGTTTTGTACTTTTTATTTATTCAGAAACCTGCTGCAGATTGACAGTAACGTGTCGGCTCTGTCTTTCAGTGCCGCGGATCGGCGAGAAAAGAGAGAAGCCCATCGTCTCCTATGTGGGTGACTTTGTGGTTCTGACATGCAAGATGGAGGAAACAAAACCAGTGCCAAGGACCTGGAACTGGTTTAAGATCAATGGCACCGATAAGGCGAGTGAGGATCTTTGACTTTACATTATTTCCTTTACAGTCGAGTTTTATCTGCAGTTGGCTAAAGTTGAACTTTTAACAGCTAGACTGTAAAAGTCACCTTTAATGGCTTTATTAAATGGTAGCCTTGCTTTTCCCATTAAAACTTGGTGTTCAGATAATTCTTGTTAAAGTATTCATAGAGAAAAATACTGTTGTTTTAATTCAGATTTTTAAGCATGTAATATTTATACCAGCATCATGACTTTTTCCTCAAAGGACCAATTGTGGCAGAATTTATTAATAAAACTAATATTAACAAACTGCTAAAACTTTATTCACCAGATTTTGGGGATTAAAAAAAAAGATTGTGATTCCATCCCTCGATTCGTAATCAATAAATAATATTTAACATCTTTTCACATTAATGTCATTTGGAACCATACAATTAAAAACTAATTTGATTTGTTTTGGCCCGCAAGCCTTAAGTTTATGCCTTGCATAGGCATTAAGCATACAACAAACATGAAATTGTCTCGTTTAATATTTCTGATGTTTTTTGTTTTTTTTGCTAGTTAGTGTAATAATTGTAGGATTCTGTCGTCCTGCAGGAGCAGCTATTCGAAGCTCAACGCTACGACATCACCGTCATTGGGCACAAAACGAAGCTGAAGGTGAAGGACGTGAGCGAAGCCGACTCTGGAGTGTATCACTGCGCCGCCGTGTACAACATCAGCACCAGCACCAGCAAACTGCACCTGAAGGTCAGAATCAGAGGAGCCAAACACTGAGCTCACTTGTTGAAAACCTAGGTTTTAAACTTTAAAGGGGAATTATTCATATTTTGCATATTCTAGATATTGCTAAAAAAAGAAGTTATTTGATATTCAGTGTTAGTAAATGATGGAAATTATCTCCATATTTAATCAGTCCAAACCAAGCGTTGGGTTTCACATTTTGTTCTCCAGTTCAGTTTTACGATGCCGTCTTATTTAAGCATATTTTAAATAACTTTTCAGAAATTTTTAGTTTAGCTGAGGCTTGAAAGACGTGAATCTCTTGTGATTTTCTCCTGAAGGTAATTACCATCTGGGAGCCATTGAAGCCTTTCTTAGGCATCCTGGTTGAAGTTGTCATCTTGGTTACTGTGATTCTCATCTATGAGAGGAGTCATTCCAAGAAAAAGGAAGCAGAAGGTACCAATGCATGTTTTTTTTTTCTCCGTTTTGACTTTAGCTATGAAACTGTGTTCTTTGGTTAGTTTGGAAGAGCAACTCATGTTTACTGGTAAGTATGGAGGAGGATCTGTGATGCTGTGGGAATGATTTTATTTCAAAATGCCCTTTGATTATTGTTAGGATACATTGCAATATGGACTCATTTATTATACCAGGAGATTTTAGATAAATCTTCAATTGGTTCTTTAAAAACAATAAAAATCCAGATATTATGGCCAAATTAACACAGAAATGGTTTGCAAAAATGATGATTTTTCTGCACTGTACTGACTGCAAAAACAAAATCTTACAGAGTATTTTGGTTTAGTTTCTAGTTCAAATATCTTGCTACACTTGAAATAAGACAAAACTAACCTAGAATTAATTTTTCAGCAAGAAATAGGAGCTTGTTTTACGTTAATAGTTCCTTATTATTCAAGAGGAATTACTAGTTTCACTGACAGATTATTTCACTTATAACATGGGAAAATGTCTTGTCATAAGTGAAATAATCTGCCAATAAAACTAGTAATTGCTCATCCATATTAAGGAATAACCAACTTAAAAGAAACTATGTCTTGCTGAAAAGTTGTTTTTAGGTTAATTTTGTCTTATTTCAAGTACTAAGGTAGTTGCACTAGCAACTGAACTTAAAATACTTTGGAGTAGTTTGTGTTTTTGCAGTGCTCAGATTAAAGACTGGATGTTCATGCCTTTACTCTTTTATACAAATGTAATTTTTCAAGAAATGTGCCCTTTTATTAAAATATTTATTTCTTTTATGGATACATTTAACTACCAATAAAGAGAATCTACTATTGTGAATAATTTCCTGCCCTTTTCACAGCTAATGGTCTGAATGCAGACCCAAAGAACACACAGTGAGTACTTTAATATTCATCACTTATTTTTATGTTTTGTGTATTATGCTTTTTTTAAATAATTATTTTTGCCTCAGGCCACAGGGTGAAGATGAGGAAGCTGAGGAACGTACCTCAGTTAGACAGCGCAAAACCTAAAGGACGTCTGCAGCAGCAAATTCAAGCATCTATTAAATTATTTTATTTTTGAATGTGAAGAGCTTCTATAGAAATATATAAACAACTATATTTTGTAAATGTTTTAGTCCTTAACACCAGCTAAGTGCAATCATCACCATCTAATCAACTAATACACACGAAAGCTTTCTGTTTTGACGTTCACTGGCCAACATGTTTCCTGTTGTCACCAACGGCTGAAGGAGTAAAGCATTTCACATTTCTCTCCCTCCGGCTCTGCGTTTCAAACTGAGGTTGCCTTCACACGTTTCCGGTGTAGCGTCTGTCACAAAAGGAAGCCCGTGTTTTTTTTTTTTTTTTAGCTTGAAAACCCCCGCCCTACATTTGCAGCTGTGATGTAATGAGTTGTGGTTTGGTTGCAGTGCCTTAATTATCTCAAAAAGCAACTGACTAGCTGCGTTTTCATGGAAAATGTACGCTAATATTTGTCGATATTCTGCTAATGTCGAAGAACATTTTGAAATTGAAATTAAAATCACACGTGAATAGGCTTGTTCACGCGATAAGTCATTAAAAATAATGTCAGCGACGGATGTGAACAGTTACATGAGATTCATAATTTAGCGATGGCGCTAGCTAGCGCCTATCATCTATCAGAGGAAACGTTCAGACGTTTGAGTGATTACATATGTGGCGTTTTGGGAAAATTGTAGATTTCGATTTTCCATAAGAGTTGTGGATTCAACAATTTTGAATGACACACCACTTTTTATGAACTGTACAACTCTGAGAGCCCAGGTGGAATCAATTGCACATTGTCCGAAAAAAAAAACAAAAACAACCATCTTAATACTACTTCCTGCCATCTTCGAGGTTTTCGCGGCTGTTGCTCACGTGACTGGTGTGACGCAATATATCCATTTCAACATGGCGGAAAATCTACCTCATCCTAGCTTAAAAAGGTTTTCATGTTTCATTAACCGAATTTATTATTGTAATTGCAATGCTTTGGTTTATGGAACCCACTCTCAAAAAGCAAAGAACTAGCTGCCATTCCATGACTATTGTGCGCAAAACATTGTCGATATTTTGCTAATACCGAAAAAACTATTTTGTAATTGCGTTGTTTCCATTAAATAAGAAACGCAATTAAAATGAAAGGTGAATAAAAATGACGTGAATAAAAATACCATTTTAAAAAAAAAAAAAAAACCTGTTGCGCCATTGCCCGTCTTCCACTTCCTGTCGTCTTCTTCCTCTTTTCTGCCAGTGATATCCGGTTGTTGTTCACGATTCAAGCGATGCAAAAACCTTTAATGGAAATGTTTTTTTTTTGTTTGTTTTTTCCTGAATTGGTATGTTTCCATTTTGTAATTTCAATTCGCTCAATGGAAATGCAGCTAGTGTTCTCCTTGCCAGCAATGATTTTATTTCTGTCACCTTGAATCCTTGAATGTGTGTTTGCATCAACGTGAGCTTTGGAAGTAACGTCCACATCAAAATACTTGTGCATCATTGTCACGTTAACATATTCAGCCTTCACTGTATATGCAAGCAATAATATTAAAGCTACACAAATTAAAGTTTATCTGAGTCATTTTCCTTTGAATCAATGCGTTACTGGTTTAACTCAAGTCAAAAATATTTTAGGAAAAGGAAATTAAATGTTGTAATTCCTTAATTCAAATATGACTGAATTAATACTAGCAGCTCATTAAAGCTGCACTATGCAACTTTTATTTAAAAAATAAGTTTTTTTGCATATTTATTAAAATTGCCACTATGTTGTAACAGTTTAATATGAGACAGATAATTTGTGAAAAGATTTAGCTCCTCCCAGTGCTATTTCTTTCTGAATAATTACGTTCCCAGTCAAAAACAAACAAAAACGTGCCGCAATCAAAGCGTAGTAGATGCTTTATTGACAAGCTGAAATGGGAAAATTTGGTGGCCCCTCCTTAAAGCGGCTTTGTACAATGGCAAATTAGGGCAGTTTAGATTTTAAAAATTATTTAAATTTCTGACAAAAAAAAAAAACAAATTCTGAGACTAATCTCAAATTTTCTAGAAAAAAAACTTGGAAACTTTTGAGCTCCAAAAGTCGAAAATTTGTGAGAAAAATCTCTAAAATTTTGAGATTCATTTTGTGCATTTTTTAGGAGAAAAACTGGAAATTGTTGAAGCCCATAAAGTAAAAGATTTTTCAGAGTTTCAAAAGTCAACATTTCGAGCTCAGAGGAGTGCTCAAGTTTTTTTTTATTTCTTTTTTTGTCAAAATAATCTCAATATTTCTGAGTTATTTTCTTTCAAACGTTGGAGTTCAAAAAAAAAAAAATTCTTCTAAATTTTTGATTTTTGAAGCTCAGAAATCTCCTTGTATTTTCCAGAAAATTTCTCAGATTAGTATTGGAAGTTCTGAGTTTTTTGGTGGAAATGTATTCCTTACCCCCCCGTCTTTAGTAGCCATGACACGCAGTAGTAGTTATGAGCTTCACTTGCCAAAGTAACAGGAATAAATGAAACAACTGTATTACTGAGAGAAGAGAGAAAAAAAACGTTTCTGATTGTTCAGAATCTCCATCTTAAGCCTGAATCTGCAGTCATTCTGTTTATAGTTTGGTTGATTAAACAACCGTAAACCAAATTTTTCAGCTTTAGTGACAAAAAGCAGCTTCCTGCATGTTTGTGTCCCGTTCAGCTGTGAGGCCGGTTCATGAGGAACTGAACCAGAAGCCTGAGGACGCAGTCGTCCAGCCCCACCACCGCGCCGTCCTGCACGCCCTCGTAGAGACGCAGGCTCTCTGTGCCCCACAGCAGGTTCTTCCTGGGGTTGTTGGCGTCCGTCTCCACGGACAGAGCCAGAGTGTTGAGCTGGTAGCAGAAGAATGAGAAGAAGTGTCCGTCTGTGATGACAGCCTGCGACACAAAGGGTCTGGAGACGTCCTGGTAGTCCCAGAAACCTGCAGAGGTTTGGTGGAAAGAAGGAACAGCCCATCACTCTTTTCTCCTCTAACTCCAGGATTCGAGATCCGACTAGATTTCTCAGTTTTATATGTTCATTTTAAAATATAAAAACACTAAAATTCACTGTGAACTTAAAAGAATGCATGATAAGTTTGGGAAGATATGGAAAAAGAAGGGCAAAAATGATGAGAAGAAAGAAGGGAGGAAAAAATTGAATAGGAAGGAAGGGAAGAAAGAAAGAAAAACAATGACAAGAAAGGAAGGAACAAAATAAAAGGAATAAAATAGTAGCTGATACAAGAAAGTGAAAAGGGAGGAAGAAAGAAAAGGTCCAAAGAGGGAAAAACGCAACATTTTGTTAGAATAGTAAATAAAATCTGGAATTATAAATACTCTTCTATCCTCATATTTTCTTTTTCCAAACTTATCCGACCTGGAAAATACTGGAATCAGGTTCCAGACTGGAGGAAGCTGCAACTCCAACGGAGTCACATATTTCCAACCAATTTAAAAAGTTCAATAAGTGACTTTTGCTCAATCTAAATTATTTTGTTTTCAAAACACATTTTGTGATAAAATGCAGCTTCTCAATACTTAAACCTTTTTCTTTAGTGTTAGAAAAGAACAGCACCACAGAATGAAAAGCAGTAAAATCCTGGTTTTCTGACCTTGGTACATAGCCTGAGCTCCAGTCCAGGCAAACAGGCTGGCGGCGGCGTTGGCTCTGAGGAAGGGCTCCACCTGGTCCGAATGCTGCTGTCGAGCCAGCCGGTCTCTGTGGTACCGGTCCGGTACCAGATGGAACTGAGTGTGACCGTAGCAGGCTGGGTCTGGCAGCTTCGCTCCTGGAAAAATGGAGGAAAGCAGAGTTTATATATATATATATATATATATATATATATATATAAACTCACTTTAACTCTAAGTTCATAACACGAAACGCAAAAAATAGTTTATTCCGGTTTACTGCAGATATATTTATTTTATACTTAAAACAGGCAGTGTCCTTGAAGCTTACTTTTTATAAACTTGATTTATTTAAGAATACTCTAGTGGGGTATGCACTAATACTAAGATCTGAACTTAAACTTTCATACTAAAGCTTAAACTTTGGCTACTTTTTACTTATTTCTTCCACAAAGTACTGATACCTGGAATATTTTGATCTTTGATTCGACCTTGTGTGAACGTTACATTGTAGCATGCATTAACTTTAAGAAATTTAATTCCTCTGGCTCTTGGATAGAAACTGTTTTTTATTTTGTTCTTGGTTTTATTCCCCTTTATTGCACCTCTGTAGATTGTAACCAGACTACCTTTGAGATATGAAGTTTGATGTTTTCTCTTATTAGTTTTAGGAGTTTCACCTGTGAAGATGTTGTTGTCATACTGCCTTCTGAACAGAGGCATCACGTTGGGGGCAAGGTGGATTTCGGGGACCTCAGCTGTGTAAGACGCCTCCAGTGGAGCAAACTGATGAAAAACATGACAGGAAAATAAGGTAAAGTTAACAGAATAGATTAAATTATGTCTGTATTTTTCTACTCCTACTGTAAAGAAATGCTTTTTGTTTTCTTTTTACCTGCGGTAGCTGCTGAGGTATTCTGATCTGGCTGTGGGGATGGTCATCGATCTGAAACCTGATTGGCTCCTGTCGGCCTCTGCGGTGGCCTTTCGGGATTATTCTCTTTCCCCTCCTCCAATAAAAGTTCACCTGCGGACTGAAATCTGAAGAAGAAGAAAACAAACATCAGAAACTAAAACCAGCACTGAAAGGGGAACACTGGTTTATGTGGTCTGCTGTGTAGGAACAGAGAGGTGTAGGTATTAAACTGGCTTTAGAGACTTAAGTTTTGAGATTCACGACTCATTTTACAGGACAAAACTGTGATGAAAAAGACTTTTTAATGACAACTCATGACAAATGCAATCTCAAGGAAACAGATTCAATTTGGTCCTAAATCAATTCAAATCAATCCAGTTAGAAAAGTGCTAAATCTTTATTTTTAACTATAATGTATTCCTATTATTTTTATCATTGTAATCCAGGAGCAGTAAGATGAGCTAGAAAACATATTAAACGTTCTTATTTTAATGAGACAAAACTCAACCAAAATATGTTCTTATTTAAACAAGAAAGGTCATTAAAATGAAAACAACTGGAGAGATGTTTGTGTCGTCTAGAAGCCTCTTTATGCCTTTTTTAAGAAGTCATAATCTCGCACATGAACCAGTTTTATTAGAATATTAAAACAAGAAAGTTTCTAATTTTAAACTGCTAGAATAAGAAAGTTTCTAATTGCAAGTGCAGTATAAAAACTAAAAAAGAAAAAGAAAAAAAAAGTCAATTTTATGAAACACCAAATCAGACAGAGCAATTATTAAGCCTAAAATGTACAACAATCCGGGCCCTGTGTTTACATGGTACCGGATCGATACCAAAATATGCAGTACACCTTTACTCACTATGATCCTTCACAAATGACCATTCAGTAAAAATACAACCTAAACAGTGATGTGGTAATCCATAAATAAACCTCTGTTAGTGATTTATTGTGAACTTCATTATCCATACCCAGACTGGAGAGCCGCAGCAGCGGGTTGTATTTGGCCAGGTTGTAGGTGAGTTCAGAGACCAGGGTCTTCAAGAAGGGACCAACCACCTGCTCCTGGTGTTTGTACAGAAAAGGTTGGCGCTTTCTCATCTTGTGCCAGTGCTCGTGTAAAATCACACGGGTGACCAGATCTCGGATTTCACTGAACGCAGCATCGTCGATCTCAGGGACAGCCGGTTGATCCGTGGCCAACTGGGAGCCCTCCGTAGTCGGGTTGAACTTCTCTGGAAGGCCCGGGATGTACGCGGTTTTGGTGAAGTGCTGGTACCACCTGTCCGGGTTTCGTGAGAATGTCTGAGGGTAGACGACAAATTTCATCCGCTGGATGCGAGTGATGAGGGACAGCTTCTCCTCCACGGGAGAGGAGGAGATCAATTTAATGCGCTCCTCGTTCTGCCGCAACCGGGCTGATTTGCTTTTAGCCGTCAGAGAAGCGACTATGGGCGGATACTGAGGCTCCTTCACGGCTTCGGTGTGGACATGTTTCAGGGATCTAAGCGGAGGAAAACTTCTAGGGAGCAGCAAGGGCAGCCTTATGCGGGCCGCCATGTTTCTTCTTTGAGTTCTTCCTCCTGAATTTTATTCAGGGTTGAATAACAACAAACCGGTGCAATAGCGCCACCCGCTGTTACGGAGAGGTGGTGGTAACAACTTCAACTTTTAATTTAAAATTATAAAAATTTATTCAACTGGTGACTTTCTGAGACACAGGTTTCAAATGGATGTGGATAAATAATGTGTATTCTGTGAGAAAGTAACTGAGGATCTGTATAATTTGTAATTTTGCCGGATCTTCACCAGTTTATCTGGGTTAATAGGTTTTTTTTTTTTTTAAATTAATGATCATAGTATAGACTACGGTGTAAATAATGTTCTGATGTTATCCAAACATTAACTACACAAATGTTTTTTTTTTTCCTTTAAAACAATATATTACTTTATAAAGTGGAAGAATGAGTTACAATTTTAATGCCATTTTTTAAGTCAAAAATGCTTTTAAGTTTACCTCTTCTTTGAAACAGTTTGTACGTCAATGTTTTGTTCAGAATTTTTATGTTGTATGTACAATTCGCCCCACTAAGTTTTTGATTTATTTTGGGGATTTGTTTGTTTTTTGTTTTTGTTTTGTTTTGTTTGTAACTTTGTAAGTATGTGGTGTGAACACATAATTAAAGAATTTTTTTTTCTTTTACATTTTATTTATTTATTTGATCAAAAAACATGATTTTTTTAATCATGATTGATTTACAAAAGTTCTGGAAAGGGTAAAACATCTAAGAGGTGAAAACATTTTATGAGCAAAGTATGTTAATCAGCGCTTTAAACACTGCTGCTCTTGAAGCGACCCCTTAAATACGTCATTGATGTCGCCTTTAGAGCCACTCACAAACTGTCGGTTATTTTTGTTGCAAACAACAGCAGTCTAGAAGGTTCATGTCATACACATTTTACTATTACTGTCGTTAATAATAATTTGAAAAACCGGGACAGAATTTATGAAAAAAAAAACTTTTAAAAAAAAGTTGACTTGTGAAGTGTATGCGAAAATATACGTTTTAAATTAAACTTGGCTCCTAGCACTCAGATTAGCTTGATGTTTACGAGATGTACATGAAGGCAGCATTAGCTTGGCGTGTTTGATTTGGAGTTTCTGAGTTTATGAAGGTTCTTGGTGTCAAACGTAGACAAAAACTGATGCATTATCAACAGTAAACTATAATAGTTAGACATGTATTTTCGTAATATTTTTCGGACGCAGTTGGTCGGGACCAGGGCGTGTCTGTTCAACCCTCTCCAGCGTGTTTATCGAGCTGAGGTAGCTGCTATAAAACCAACCCTTTTGCTTATCATAAACATTTTCATTTCGTTTACTGTTGCTGAGCATTTTCACAACACACACTCTGGTAGCAATGTTGGTGGCAGTGGGGAAGCTTCAGTGTCCCACCACCAAGAGGTTCGCTTTATCCACACATTTACCCCCCCGAATGATCGCTTTATTTTCTTTTATGAATATAATGTTTTTATTTGTCTGGGCATTTCAGAGATCACTCTGCACAAAAAGTGATGAGGTGAAGCTGGCAGAGGAGGCCAGCAAAAGATACGGTTCTCCAGGTCCAACCATCTTCTCCAAAGTGATTGATAAAAGCATCCCTGCAGATATTATCTATGAAGATGACAAGGTAAACAACCAGGAACATGTTAAGTTTTACTAACTCACATGACCTACCAGTTAAATGTTTCCAAATCCTCCTATTAGGGCCATTGCAGATACAAAAAATTGACTATTACCAACAACAACAACAAAAATAGATTAAGCTCAGAAGTTTTCTGGAATAAAACAGGGACATTTTTGGGTTCCAAAAAAAAAAAAAAAAAAAAAAAAAATGCTATTAAAATTTTTTTGGAATTTTTAGATTGATATCAGAAAAATTTCCAAAGTTTCAAGAGTTTCAAAAGTCAATATTTTTTTTACTTAGAAACTCACAAATGTACAAGATTTTTCTAGAAAATTCCTGAGTTGCTTGTTGCAAACTTTTGACTTTTGGAGCTCAGAAATTTTGTTGTTTTTTCTTGAAAATATTTTTGATTAATCTCAAATTTTCTGAGTTTTTTTGGTGGAAACTTACTCCTTTTTGGCTCTAAAATGTTGTCGTATGAATCAAATGATTTCAGTTTAGCAAACGCCCGTTCATCAGCCATCAATTAGCAGAGACAAACCTAAAACATGCAGGACCAGTGTTGGAAACATTGACCTAGTCCACAGGGAATGAAAACGTTTTTAATTTTTTTGTCTTGTTTTCAGTGTTTGGCATTCAGGGATATCAGTCCACAGGCTCCCGTTCACTTCCTGGTTATTCCACGGGTCCCCATTCCTCGAATAAGCGCAGCTAAAGATGATGATGCTGAGGTATGACGCTCTTCACAGAGTCCCAGAATAACAAGAAATTGAGTTAGCAAATGCATGTTTTTTGTGCGATGTGATTATTTTAAAATTGTTGCCTCCTACAGTAGCACAACCAGTTATTTCTTTTTTGAATAGTTTTTTCCTACATTATAAATTAAAAAATTTTAAGTATTAAAAAGCAAACAGAAAATTCTTTAAGAAAAAGGAGAAAAGTTAGAAAATAACTAGAGAATATCAGTGAGTCAGTCAGAACAAAACAGTCAGAAAATGTAAACTAAAATTTAAAAAGGCAAAATAAATGTAAGCAAGCTAATGGAAGAAACAGAAAAATCACACACACACACACACACACACACACACACACATATATATATATATATATATATATATATATATATAGTCTACTAATTTATGAAAGGTAAAGAGTGAGACCTTGTGTATCTATAAATAGGTGGAGGAGGGTAGAGTAGAAAAATGTTCAAGTAAAAGTAGTGTTGCTCCAACATTTTTACTCAAGTAAAAGTCAAAAGTAACTAAGTAATCACTCAAGAGTAAAACAGTTTTTAATAAAAAGGAACTCAAGTACTGAGTAGCTGAAATTTACTCATTACTAAAAAATTATATCAGTCAAACAAAAACGTTTTCTGTAAATTTTGGTACTTCAAATATCGTTTCTAAATAAACCTGATGAAACTTAAACTCTACAGATAATGAAGTTTGAGCTTGTGTAAAAATAATTTTGACCAGTAGGTGTCAAAATTTCAGTGTTGACAAATTTGTATTTAGATAGGAACTTTAAATTGGTTCAGGCTGCAGTTTTTAACTTAAACTGTAGATGTTAAACCTAAACCTGAGCAGATGGAGTTAATTATTTACTTTTTCTTGTCTAAAAATATTAAGTCTTGCTTATTTTCTCTCCAACATTCAGCTCTTGGGGCATTTGTTGGTTGTTGCTAAAAATGTGGCGAAGCAGGAATCTCTTAGTGAAGGCTACAGAGTGGGTACGTACTTTCATCCAGCTGATAAAAACTCTTCTTAAAAATAAAATTAATTAGTAATTGCTGTTTAATTACCTGCAGTGATCAATGATGGAAAGCATGGATCTCAGTCGGTGTACCACCTTCACATCCACGTCCTGGGAGGAAGACAGATGGAATGGCCGCCGGGATAAAAGACTCACACTGAACGGTCGAAACATCTGGAGTCATCCTTTCAAGAAACTAGATTTTTCTCTGATTAATTAAACCAGTGGTTTGTCAGGTTTTTTTAGTTCTTTAATGTTGTGCTTTGACTGCACAACATGCTGAAATATCGATGCTTTTAGCTAATAGCTCCTTGAAAATCAGGTTGTTGGAGAAAAAACACAATTTAATAAATGTCAGAACTGTTGTCATTTTATAAAGAGGCATTTATACTGTTGTAATTAAGCTATTAAGCTATTGCTTAATTACAACAGTGTAATTAAGCAACAGTGTAATTAAGCAATGAGCATATTGAAAAGGAAAGCCATCGGTTTGACAAATCCAGCTCTATTTCATTTATCTGTGTTCAGCTTGATTAAAGAACACAAGTAAACATGAGATGACATCTGTCTGTACAGAAGTTATTTTGTCTTCTGAAAATTTATGTACAATAAAATGAACATTTGAAATGTAAATAGATTGATCTATCAGCAAGTTGGTTAACATGGCTTTAAATAAAGACTAACTATATTTTATTTTGACTAAGTTCTTTATCTCCAATAGACAAAATTACTATTGCATAACAGTTACGTTACTGTTTTAACTAAAAACAATAATTCAGTGGAGGAGGTTGGACAACCTCAGTGAACCGCCTAACCAGTGAGAATTTGTGCAGATTGACAGTTTGTAGTTGAGATGAGTTTATACATAAGTATATTAAATATATTTTACACAAGTGTGAGTAAAAAGTAATTATCCAAAAATTATTCAAGAGTAAAAAAAATATTGGTAAAAAAAAAAAAAAAA